TGCGTTTCATTTTGTCCCATTGAGTACGAAATGAGCGGTGAAGAGAGCAAGTAATTTAGCTGTATAGAATTCTTGCCTTCTCTGGCATAACAACCTCCTAGGTTAAGAGGTTGTATGTCTCGCTCCCTCTCTCTCTCTCTAGCAATTAGGGAGATGGGTTGGTGAGCACCGTCACTGCTACGGGCTTATTTTAAATGATCCACGACCCGCCCGCTAGCGGTCACCTCAAGGAGTGACTGTGATTAATGAGCAGGCTCCGCTACTGCAGAATACCGTAACGCAGCGCACACAGTGATCCCCTAAGTAGGTCTACATACCAAGTATCCACAAAAACGACTCACGGTCTGTGATCTAAAATATTTCATGCAATCATGAAGACTTAACAGGTAAGAATGTTAAGTTAAACATCTGCATGGTAAAACAAGAAATGAAGTAAAGCTTTTCCTGTGCTTAATGCATAAAGCACTACGCCGTGAAGACTCATAACTCATTGTTAACCTTGTGACTAGAAGAAAGTGGGTGGTCAGCTTCCTTCTGCGGGCCCTTTAACCCTGGGAAAGAGCGTGCCGTACCCATCCGATTGGAGGCTGGGTGGGCCCTACAGCCAGTCTGGACGATCTGTTGTTACCTGGTTGGGGTAATATCCCTTCCTTTGCTCATCCTTTTTTGTTTGGTGCATATTTTCGTTACCTTACATACAAGTCCGTTATATTTCTTGTTCGTGATCTTCTGCTTTTGTTGCCATAACAGATGATTTCAACAGTATCGATCAGTTATTTTTAAATTTGATGGAAGTACTTTTATATAGATCTCTTCCCGAAGACAAAATGGCAGCCAACGAAATATTTATGAACTGTCTCCTTCCGTATCGTGAATAGACAGCTTTCACTTATATTGTTTTCCTTTTATAATATTTATCACCACTTGGAGATATAGTGGCATAGACATATTATAAGGTAGTATTTTAGTACTTTCCTGAATGTGTCTAACGACTCTTTTTAAATGCATAGTTCATCTACTGTCGATTAGTAGTGGATAATATTAAAATGAATCTTAGAGAACTGTATTGCGAGAGTGGAATAGATTCAATTAGGTCGAGATATTGTCTAATGGCGGGATTTATTGATCAATGTAATAACCCTTCGTAGTCCATAAGTGCAGTTTTATCCATTATTTAATTGCTAACTTTTAGAGAGAGCTTTATTATTAAATGTTTTAATTTAGTTTGAGAAAGAAGGTAATATCACGAAAAACCGTTGTCCTTCTCTTTTTAGCCGTGTTTCTTATACGTACGGGTCACATTATCGTAAGAGCATTGAGGGATAAATTTGTCTGTAATGATTGCCATGTCGTATTAATAAGGATAGGTCAAAGAGTTTTCAATGCCTTAAATTGAATTTTTATTGTCATGTAACAGTTTGATGGGCCATTGTATCTGTATCTTCAAGATTAATCTTTTCCCGGTTATGACGCTTTGTAGTCCGCTAGATATAAGCCAGTGTTATGGAGCAACCTGTTGCCTCCATCTTCAGGATAGAGGCCGTCTGCTCTGAAGATGAAGACAGAAGCTTCCTCCATAACGTCGATAAACGTCTACCAAACTACACGCCACGTCCCAGAAGACAGAACCGCTGTGAGAACTTCATATCGCACTTAAATATTTATTTATCTGCACATAAGACGTAGCTGTCCTTCATAATATCCCCAAATTTCGACCTTATCACCACCGCAAAACTCAGAAGATGTATTTAAATAGTAAACCTTCAGCGTAGTATGGACATGTGACTGCATGGGCAACTTTTAGGGAAAAATGTTTTCCTCATACACCATCGGAAACTGTAACAAGCTTTAGTATTTATTTGCATGAGAACGCTTTCCGCATTATAGTGTATTTCAGTTACATACAGCTGGAGGCAGGCCATTCATTTAACACGACATATGCAGACAGGCAGACTGCTGGACACTGGAAGGTGAGTTCGGGATTTATACAAGCACTCCTAATGGTAGGCTTTAATCATGGGTTGTTAGGCGACAAAGTCATTCTTGTCTCTTGGTGACGTCTTGTTGAAGCAGCTGACAGATTATGTCCTGACAAGACCTCAGAAGTTATGTCAACAGAAGAGAATGGTGTAATTCTTTCCTGTCTGCCCGTCTGGTCGCTTGTTTACTCATGTCCTTCGTTTCTTTTTGAACCCCTGATCAGACGTTTAGGCTGGGGCCACAAGAGCGCACAAAATGCGTCTGTTGTAATGAACGTACTTTATGACGGACGTTGCTGAGGACGCCACACATTTGCAGAATGCGGTGCGTAGTTTTTTGTCTCTAATGGAGACAAAAGGAAGCGTAGCATTCGCCTCTCTTGTTTATTTCTACAACGGACGTCACGACGTTCGTTAAAACGGACGCATTTTGTGCGCTCGTGTGGCCCCAGCCTAAGTCCGAATAATTGCTCTGATATCGGGAATAGTAACTAAAATATTTCAGCGACAGAAATGAAGAGTTATAAACGTTCTCGGTGATATAAGACAAATGTTCGTATAAGAAGTCAGACGGCAGCTTGTACTATTTTCAACTTAATGATGAACAGACATTTACGTTATTGTGCTTGTCGGAATAATAGATCCCAGTTGCAACAACTGAAATGTACCGAAGAAGCGGAAATAAGGATTCCAAATATTAACTCTGGAAGATGGGGAATATAACCACGATGAAAGGTAGAACTATCCCTGTAACAGGCTGTGGAGGCCCATAGGGGTGTGAGACGTCGAGGCTCCCACATCTTCTAGATAATCGGCTCACAGATAGCAGTGAGTTTGTCAAGAATTACGCGCCGGCCGCCCTTCACAATTCAGGTACCTGGTGCTCATTTCTGTTAGAGGCTGAGTCGACCTCAAGACCATTTCTCGGCTGGAAGGATTAGGTAAATTGAAAAGATTCAATGACCTTTTCGGAAATTGTACCCGCTACTTTCCGGCTTGTCCCTTAGTACCTCAGCCAACTACACTACTGTGTGCTCCCTATTTCTTTTTTAATTGCTAGTGGGGTGGGACTGAGTCCCTTGTACTGCGGCCACTTCTGGCCTATAGTACCAGCCACAGATGATACATGAGGGTGAATGAATGGTGGAATGAAGATTGGCAGTGTAAACCGAAGTACTCGGAGAAAATCTGCCCCAGCGCCACTTTGTCAACCACAAATCCCATTGACTGGTCCCAGGACCGAACACGGGCCGCCGCGGTAGGAAGCCAACGACTAACCGCTTGAGCTATGGCGCGGCCTTGTGTGCTCCCTGTATGATCATGTTAGAATCATAATATTAACATACAATTAAAATGCTTTTTATCCTAAGTAAAGTCGCAGATATAGAACACCACCTTTACCAGAAAATGTATTCTTAGGGAATTTGATCAAGATGCACGAAAAGTAATAAAGTAGCCCGAGATACGAGTGGTGTTACTGCTGCACAAGCAACAAGCAGCGTTTGCCTGCTCCTTGCTTCTTTGCTTACTGGACTTTATCTCTGACCCTGAAAATGGAGTCAGTACATTCCTCAGCACTTTCTTCAGTCATTATTCTCTCATTATCCTTCGGCAGTTTCATCCTTGTTTCTTTGCTTTTCGTCCTTAAAGATCCTTTTATTCTCCTTTGTGTCTTAGTAGATCTATGTTTCATATGTACGTATTATTTCTCTTAATAAAGGCTAGTTCATCCTAGTTAAATTCTCACCTACCAGCCAACTCGTTGGTTGCAGACTTCGGACCAAAGGTTCAATACTTCTAATACAATGGCCATGCTTTTGAACACGATTCCGAGCCAGTTCTATTCAACTTTCATCCTCAAATATATTTTCCTGAAATTCATCGTGATAATCCTCCTTTTGTTCTTCCTAGCGACACAATTCCATGTTCATGTTGTGTTCCCCATGTAACACACATGTCTCACCAATCGTAGCGTGCACATGCGCGTTCGTGAGCGCGCGCGCGTGTTGGGGGTGGTTATTTTACGACGCTGTCAATAGCTAGACTATAGGGCCGAATTGTAAGGTGACTGATGCAAATAATTTGAAAGGAAGCAGTTGTGGCCTTCTCTGCATTTGCCTGGGACTGACGAAACCCACGAAAACCCTCAGGTAGGATGGCCGATGTCCAGATCAAGATTTGAACCGAGCACCTCCCGAAAACGAGTCCGGAGCGTTAAGGCTGTTGCACCAATTAAAATAGCCTAGATTTCATATCGTAACAGAACTAGATGGTACGTGTGTGTAATTCAGATGACATCCTAACTGCCAACTTAGCAACGTTCTTTTTACGTTTAAAACTTATCTTGAGTCCTTCAACTTCAGACAGATGTAATTTATGTTCTGTCCTCAAAATTCACTCCCATACAAAATTTTCTTACCCTTTAAAATTTGAAGAAAATTATTGTTCGACATAACTTATTCTTAAGGGCACGCGGTAACGTAGTTGGTTGAGGCACTATGCTACAAGGCGGAAGGTCGCGGGTTCCCTTCCCGATGAGTCCATCGAATTTTTTCAATTGACCTAATCCTTCCAGCCGCTCTTTGCCCTAAGGTCAACTCAGCCTCTAATAGAAATGAGTACCAGGAATTTTCCTGGGTGTAAAGGGCGGCCGGCGCCTAAGGCTGACAACCTTACCGCCATCTTTGAACCGATTGTCTAGAAAATGTGGGAGCTTTAACCTCTCACAACCCTATGGGCCTTCACGGCCTGTTACAGGGACAGCTTTACCCTTTTTTAACTTATTTTGAACACTGACATATCATTCGTACTTGGTATTTTCTTCTCAGCTACATGAAGTCACCATTTCAAACTGAAGCCCTAAAATGTGTCACATGACATCTCCATGTTTATGTTACATCTGTTTCCCAGCAATTTGAATTTGGCGACGTTTCACATGCGTCCGGCTTTCGTCACAGAATGCCAGTGTACTCAATAGAGAGCTCTTCACTGAGGTGACGAGGTGTATGCTGAATGTTGCAGGAGGCAGAGAGCGCTATTGCTGCCATGAACGGTCAGTGGCTGGGCAGCAGGAGCATCCGGACCAACTGGGCAACCAGGAAGCCTCCCGCCCCCAAGAATGAAGGTGAGTTGCATTGCTAGTTTTGCTTTATTTACTCTTATTCATGTGCAGAGTAAACTGACATTCCGTTAAACAAAGCACAGTTCTTAAATTCTCTTGATTTTGATAACATAACTACCGTTCACGTAATTTTAACTAATAATGAAAACGGCCATGCCATATGTCAGGCAGTTAGTTGTGGCTTCTCCTAACGATGGTCCGGGTTCTTCTTCAGCTCAGGGATTTGTGGGGGGCAAATAGGCGCTGGAACAGGTTCCTACGAATACTTCGGTTTCCCCTGCCAGTTCTCGTTCCACCACTCTCATCATCATCATCATCATCATCAGCCTGAGCTGGTACAATAGGCTCAGTAGTGGCCGACGTACCAAGTGAGCTCAGTCTCAGCCCACCCCATGAATAAATAAAGGAAAGGTGAAATTGTACTGGAGAAAATTAGCGATTAAGACGGTGCATTTCAGAGGTCTGGAAAGTACATGTGCAGATCACAGTCGCCCCACGGTCTCTGCTTTCTCTTCTTTCTATTGTGCTCGTTTTTAACTATCCTTCTGTCTCCTCCTACAACTGCATTTGTTCTTCCTCCGTATTCTTTTGCTTCTTCTCTTCTCTTTCTTGTTAATCCGTTCTTTGTAACTGCTCTTTGACATTTTGTCTCTTCACTTCCTTTGTGCCGCTTCTGCTATAAAGTCGTAGGCCTCGTCTGCAATCTGCAGTGTATATGAAGCGGTAAAGCATGGATCATGGTGGTTTCGATCGTGGTCTATTTTATCTGACACTAAGAACCTCCATGAAAATGATGGGGCTGTAGCATAAATTCGATCCTGTGGCCTCTAGAATAAGAAGCAGACCTGGTACATTAGGCTCTATGACAGTGCGTTTGGGCTGGAGCACAGTGTTCTCGATTGTAGTTCCCATAAACGGCGTATAATCGCTACGTACATTAGACTCTGTGACAGTGCTTTTGGGCTGTAGTACAGTGTTCTCGATTGTAGTTCCCATAAACGGCGTATAATCGCTACGTACATTAGACTCTGTGACAGTGCTTTTGGGCTGTAGTACAGTGTTCTCGATTGTAGTTCCCATAAACGGCATAAATCTTGCGAATCTCAACAACGGAAACGGCAAATCCGAAGTTAAGCGTTTTCTGGAAAATACTGAGTTACTGCTTGAATATAATTCACTACTGCATCTTCCCGCCAGTCTCTCGTTTTATAGCCACTCTATCACCAGCACGGCCGTTAATCCGCCGTTAGATAAATAAATTAAAATTCGCCGCAATGTCAGGGCGCAGAACTAATGGCGCAGTAATTGTGGTCATGTGATGTCGAAATCGAGTTACAGGTTGATGTGGCTTACGCAAATATTCGCATATTTAAATAGCTAATTAATGTTGCATAATAGAACGTCACATCCGCATGCATTTTGCTGTGAAAATACCTCGGCATATACTTGTTATGTTCATGTAATGCCTGGTAACAAAATAGGCCTATTTTCAGCCGGTTATTATGCAGCGTAAATGAACGATATTTAGCCAGCAAAATGACGTTATTCTCTTTGGTTTGCATATCAGACTGATCTGTTATTCTACAACGGTACAAAGTAGCTATATCTGATAGAGGCATTTTGACAGCGGACTTTATATTTGGATGAGTCCTACAAAGGCTTCTGATAATGATTTAATATCGCCATAGGAGAATTTTATTTGAACGTTGTCGGATGTTTGGGTAGACGGGAGTGTGGAAGGATCTAATTCTCTGGAATACACATAGGTAAATAAAGTAAAGCTGTCCCTGTAACAGGTCATGATGGCCCATATGGTTGTGAGACGTCGAGGCTCCCACATTTTCGTCGTCGGCTCACAAATGGCGGTAAGTTTGTCAGCTTTACTTGCCGGCCGCCTTTTACCCTCCCCCCACCGAAATATTCGTGGTACTCACTTCTATTAGAGGCTGAGTCGACCCCAGAACCAGAGTTGGCTGGCAGGATTAGGTCAAATGAAAAATCCACTTCAGCGGGACTCAAACTCGCGGCCTTCCGACTTGTACAGATATTATGTTTTATGACAGTATCCATCGTCTTGTATCTGTCTAAAAACAGTCGTGTTTATTTTTCAAAACACAACGTTTCTGAGACTGGATTCTGTTTCAGTCTTCAGGTAGAACCTACTCAGTTTGGCCCAATCGATAGAGCTAGTCCCTACCTCCGGACACCTGTGCCAGCTCCATCTTCAGGTAGAACCTACTCAGTTTGGCCCGATTGATAGAGCTAGTCCCTACGTCCGGCCACCTATGCCAGCTCCATGATGGGGTACATAAATCAAACACAGCACAAACCATCTGCGAGCGCTAAGAAAACAAAAAATTATGGAAATTCCACATTATGAAATCTTGCACCAGAGAAGTATCTCGATTGAAACCATCGCTGGAACGAAGCTTGTATCGTAGTGCCTCAACCAACTACGTTACATAAGTTTCCAAAAGTTCCTTAGTAATTTTGTACACTTCATTGGCACTGGTGTTAGCATGGTGCAGACACAAATCTTTTGCAACTCTCGTACAGTCACATGCAAAAATCAGAAATTATATTTCATTTCTTTCACTATTCACCATGAGAAAAAATTTGTTCAAATAAATGTAAAGAAATAAGTAAAGCTGTCCCTGTAACAGGCCCTGGAGGACCATAGGGATGTGAGACGTCGACGCTCCCACATTTTCTACACAATCGGCTCACAAATGATGGTGAGTTTGTCAGCTTTACACGCCGATCGACATTTACCCCCAAGAATATCCCTGGTACTCATTTCTGTTAGAGGCTGAGTCGATCCCAGGGCCATAGTGCGGCTGGAAGGATTAGGTAAATTTAAAAAACCCACCTCATCGGGATTCGATCCAGCGACCTTCCAGCTTGTAGCATAGTGCCGTTCAAATAAATATAGCAGTACTTAATGCGGCCCTATCGTTTGCGATAAAATTGATATGCTTCAATTTATGCTTTACGTAGAGCAGGATGTATAAGCATAAAAATGAAATTCCTCCAGTAACTTTCAGTGGGCCTGTACACGACCAGCATAAACTTTTATAGGTATCCGTTCAGTTAACTCGAAGACTGAACACGTGAAAGAGATAGTACGCGGTATGACATTTCGAACGGTCGCTTATGAAACCTCTTTTCTCTTTTAAGACTTTCCGGTCTACACGATGCCACGATACCTGAAAATACAGCCAAATTTTCCAAAAGGGCTTTTGCACAGACACAACACAGACTATTGTGTGCTTGCTGTAAGAATTTCTGTTCATTTTAATACTTCCTTGATCGATCAACCTGATTTGTGTAAACGTCGGCACCCATACAGTTAGAATCCAGTGTATTCTGAAACAAGGAGATATGACTGAATTTAATGTTCATTCGATACTCAGAACACACCAACAAAAGAAGTGCAGTTTTTTGCTTAAACTCTCATTGTGTATTAGTTGCGGCAATTGTGTAGACCAAGGAGATGCTTTATCGCCACTGCTTTTCAACTTTGCTTTAGAATTCGCTATTAGGAAGTTTCAACAAAAGAAGGGAGGTTTAAATTTCAATGGGACATACCAGTTTTCCATGTTGATGATATAAGCCTCTTAGGAAATAACATAAATACCATAAAACAATCACAGAAGTTGTGACTGACGCAATAAGCATGTTGGTCTAGACGTAAGCACAGAGAAAACAGAGTGTACGTTGATGTCTCTTCTGCATAAACAAGGCAAAATCATAACAGATAGATGGCTTAAGGATCATTTGAAAATGTGGCAAAGTTCAGATGCTTTGAAACGACAGTAGCAAATCAAATTTGATTCAAGAGGAAATTAAGAGCAGATGTAAATGAGATAATGCTTGTTACCATTCAATTAAGAAATTTTTGTCTTAACGTGGACTGTCTAAAAATGTAAAAGGTAAAAAAAGTGAAGCTATCCCTATGCTTAACTAATTAAGCACCCTGACCTGAAGACGTATGGGGGAGTGGGAGTATAGCTGTACCATTCTTGACCTCGGCACTAGATGGAAGTGAGTTGTCAGCTTCACGCCCCGGCCACCTTACCTACAGAGACAGAGCCCCCGGTACCCGCTGGGTAGAAGCCTGCGTTGGCCCCAGGGCCGGTCTTGACTCTCTTGAGAAGAGAAAGTCTCTTGTCTCTACTGGAAATGAAACCCCGGTCGTCCAGCTCGTAGCCCGACTGTACCGACTGATCTATCCCAGCCCCTGCTGTCTAAAAACGTAAAGATTTAAATTAATAAAATCGTGATTTTTCTTGTAGTTTTGTGTGAGAAACTAGTCTTTAATATTAAGGGAAGAACATAAAGTGAAGGTGTTTGAGAACAGGGTGCTTATGAGAATATGGGGGAAAAAGGAGGGCTGAAGTTGTAGGAGTTTGGAGAAAACTGCATAACAAAGAGCTTCATCACTCGATTTCCTCACCAAATGCAATTAGAAGTATGAGAAGGCCAGAGCATGTAACACGAATGCCAGAGAAAATGAAAGAATATAAGATTTGGGCGGGAAAGACAGAAGGAAAGAATCCGCTAGGAAGACATAAACGTCGGTGAGAGGATAATATTAAAACATATCTTACAGGAATAGGAAAGGGTTTGGACTGGATTCGTTTGGCTCAGAACAGGGACTACTGCAGGACTCTTGTGAACAAGGCAATAAATCTTCGGGTTGCATAAAATATTGAGAACTTCTTGAGTGGCTGAGCAGCTGTTAGCTTATCAAGAAGTATTCGGTTCCATATCGATAGTTTAGTCATTTAAGATGAGAAAAAAAATATATCATATTTCTTGTCTGTGAATTTGATGACCGAGGAAGGATTATGAAATAATGCAGTGAAATTAGCAGTTTCGCTTTTACTTTTCGGGCTTAAAGGAGGGGCAGAAGGGAGTTAAGGAAAGAGACATTTCGTGATCCAACACGACAAGAAATTTGTAAGTCACGGGAAAGGTATCAGGTTCTCAAACTGGTAGGA